AAGCACTTCGCTATGATTTTATCTCATTTTTGTGATTCAGACGAAGCGAATCGCTCATCAAATTGAGCAGTTCTCGGAAGCCAACAGAATAGTGAACCTTTTGAAAAACTGAGTGGAATTACAATTTTCCCTTTTTTACGGAGCCTTAGTGACTTGTGAGTGGTTGATTTGTTCACTTTAACGCCTCCATCGGCTGTAAAAGCAAGGCTTAAGAGCAAGCAGCAGGTGGTGGGATTTCCAGCGCTGTTTGACACATAGAATCCTATTTTTGACATTAAGACCGTTACAACGCACAAAGGACACGGCGGAGGCTCTGGTCATGTCTGATCATCTCTGTTTCTGATCGCATTCACTGCTGTTGAAGAGGAAGGCTTGTCGCATGGTGAACTACTATTTTGTATGCTTCCGCTGAAGTTTAGATGGAAAGTTTTTAGAGCCCGGCTCAAAAAATTCGCTTAGGTTTGAAGTGTAAGTTACAAGCTTCAAAATATAATAGCCTTACCAACGCAAGTTTTCCTATCGTAACCCAGGTGGAATCCAGCGAAGCATTGACACCGTGCACGTCCGTTCTCGTTCACACAGTGATGCTGACAGCCACCTTTCTTTTCCAAACATGGATCGATTGCTGGAAAAAATTGAAATTAAACGTTGTCAGTCTTCCCTGATTGACTCATTAATAAGCAATCTGCGAATGGGCAGCAGTGAATGAAGGGAATCGTGATAGACTTCCCATTGATGAGTGACAGCAAAAAGATGCGCAGAGACCCTCGGTGGCGACTCTGCTGTAAAACTCTAACTGTTAAGCCATCCGCTCGGGCTGATCTTATGGAATGATGCCCATTACTAGGCGAAACGTGGACCGAAGCCTTCATAAATCTTTCAGAGAATCATTTCACAAGTTTGACAGGTACCAGATCCGGAACACTAGCGGTGTATGGCCGATTAGGAATGGCCACATCAGCTGAGAGTCCTGTACGATTTCAGGGACGGTGCTCGTGGTATGAATTGCATCAGCATCGCTTCGATAGTAAAAAAAATTCTAGAAAGGACGCTGGAATGGAAAAGAAAGGTGCCACTGCTATTTTCTCACGATTCTCTCACGAATAGCATTAGACGGTAAAGCCCACTTCCGTTCCCTCTCTTACAATTAATCAACCTCATCAGACAGCAGGTTTCTCCCCCGCAACGTTGGGACCATCCATTGTTCAGCGGCACGGTGATTTGCATTCATAAGCGTTGCTAATTATGGTAGAGAACATGACATATGCTCGAGAGCTCATAATAGAATAAACGACGGTCCCCGCTTGCTGCAAAAACGGCTACCCCGTTAATTAAGAGATGGGATAATTCCCACCAACACTGTACATTGGAGTTGATTAGATCTGAAACAAGGTACCAGCAAGCTATAATTCCTGGTCCCTGCTCTAACACTTTTCTCAGAAGCTTGACTTGCGCAAAAAGAAGCACTGCGTGTACAAACGGAAAGGTATGTTTCTGAACTGCGGTAGGACTGATCGCGTTGATACAGTGCTGCTCTCGTGCGCTTCCAACTCTGAACAGATTGACCGCGATGGCTGAACCATCAAAAGCAAAGCGTGAATCATGGCGAAGTGGCGGCTGCGAATTCCCAGGTGCCACAATTGAAGGGATAGTTTCCAGGGATTGTGCGCCAACAGTGAATGGTTCGAAGAAATTAGCAGCTGCACCGTTACGAAAAGAAGGCTTTAGCATATTATGAAGACCATCCGGAAGAGGGCCCGCTTTCTGTTATTGACAAAATTTCACAATTAGTCCAACTAGGGGACTACCCGCGCTCTGCGATTTTAATTTGAGTAGTTCAAGCCTCAACCTTTCGCGCAGTGTAGGCAAGTCATGTACGGCTTGGATCTGCGCCGAAAGTGTTGATGGCTTGAACTCTGAAGACGGAGGTGTGAATAAATTCACAATTGATGGTGGGAGTCTATTACAAGACATTTCGTGTCCAAAAAGAAAAATCGCAGCAAGTCCCTCTATCCGAAGTTGCGAGAAAACTGTGCTATTTTATGTTCAACTATCTCTGTGTGGAGATACAGTTCAAACTGCTGACATCCACAACTCAGTATTCAATCCAGCCTTTTGGAGTCCAATGACCTATTCGCTTTATAACAGACAATTGAAACAGTACTCTTAGTTTAATCGACGGTTCACCAAAGACAGTTCAACTTACGGTGACATTTCTTCTTGTCCACACCAAGCCGATAGCCATGCTTTGCATTTGCATCTATAGAAACGACCATGCTTCTCCTCGCATAAGTGGTCACAGCCTCCGTTGTCGGCAGCACAGCTGTTTGAGTCTGAACGATGTGCATGGTCGAAAGCATGATACAGCTTTTATTAATATCTAAACTGGAATAAGTATGCTTTGGAGTTGAAGAAGGAGAGGTAGGAGAAGGACGACAATCATGCCGTAAGCGTTAATGTAATATTCGTTATTGCCGAGAATTCTGATGCTGTGTCTTATGGCTTACCACCAGCCTTTAGTGTTAATTATCACTAACCACAAAACTAACGGATTATCTCTGGTCTGCTTTCAGTGGCTGTAGGTTGATTCAGTTAAGCTATTAAGCTACTAATTGGCCGAAAAGCACGGTAACCCCCAGGAGGCCCGTCGCGCGGCAAGAAGGCAAAGTCAGCGGACGAGTCGCGCGCGTACTATAGGGATTTCGCGTCAAGTTAAATAGAGTGTCCCATGCACGTCCTACATCGCACACCACGCGCTGCAACTCGTCCGCCGACTCTGCCTTCTTGCCGCGCGACGGGCCTTGGGTAGTACCGGAAAAGCGCCATCTCGTTAATGGCCAACGAAATTACCCAAAACATTGATATATTACGGGCTGCTCTACAGCGTCTGCACGTTTACCTCCGCGTAGTTGTCTTTTGCATCTTTCAACTTTTTTTTTCGACTGGCCGGAAATTTATAAGGTCATAATTGATTTTATTAGGTATATCACATCAATACAAGTAAGAAACCTTTTGCGCCCAAAAACGTTCAGAAATGTCTTTCCAACATGAAAAATGACAAAAATCGTGCAAACTGATTCCATGTGACTGCTTGCGTCACAGAATAGACTGCAAGAAACGGAAAAGTGCGATCTTACTTTTACTTTTCCGCGCTCTTTCATCCGCGGTCATGCATATGATTACACAATAAATTATATGTAAATATATAATAAGAATAAATTGATGCTCAAATGGACTAATAAGAAAATAAACTTGGAAGATGGTAGTGGAAGACAATGAGGCGCTTCTTAATCACTTGCATATAACCTCCTACCAAATTACTACATCAATTTTTCAGAAGTTTCTTTGCATTCAGCATTATTGTCAGCTACCTTATGGCGCAGTGGAAACAGTATTTGGACGATGAGGGACAGATGATTCACCATGATGGTCGCGATCACAATAGTGGAATAATATAATGTTTGCCTGCCTTTTATGAGACATCTAGCATATCCTGCTCGCGTGAGTAACAAGGACTGAATGGATGTCACGGTAAGAGAGCAAAAGCAGTTAGGCGACAATCATCTTTAGCGCGTTCTTTAGCATTCATTCAAACCTGGAAGTGTACGGACGCCTTTACCATTGCTCAACGTCTCGGAAAGGCCCAATCTGCCTAGTACTTATGGCAACCTCCCAACCAATGTTTCGCTTGCCATTTACTCCACTTCGGATCAATTCTATAAATAAAAGGTGCTGCAATAGAGTTATCCAAATGAGAGGAATCCCTACGTTAAGCTTAGGTTCCCAGGCGTGAGCATTAAATTGCCCTGTATCGTATTTGTTCGCGAGATTTCTCAAGTTACCACTTGCTGAGCACGGAATCGCGTGGGTCAAGCACTTGCTAAATCCTGCAATGTGCAAACATAAGCGCCAACAGTCTGCATTGTTCCCTACACGTTTGAGTACTGTACCAAGAAAGACACCATTAGATTCGCGCTATTTCAAATCAATCAGCTTTAAAGTCGACCTTAAGCTGTTATGCTTTAAGTTAATTACGAGTATGGAAGCACGAGTAGTGGATCGGTAGTATCTGAATGTATACAGCCGAGTCTTCCTTAAAACGTGGTAGGTGATTCAAAAAACCTCAGAACGTAGCAAATGATTCAGGACTCCACAAAAAAACTTGTGGCCGTTCTACACCGCCGGTCAAATTTCATTGAATAGCGTCAAGAGATCGGTGCTATACAAGATAGGCCTAGATATTCATATGGCAGCGTTTGTTGCATGGGAGTTGGGTGGGGAAGAAGATGGCTAATTCCGAGGGTAAAACTGGAATTGTCAAGCTTGCGCGCTTGGATCGAATTTTCTGATACTAGCAAGACCTTGTGGCATACTCCTACTGAAATGAACGCCCTTGCCTGAGAGACATATTTAACTACCACTGATCGACACGTACCACACTTAGATCTTTTCCCAAAAGAACGTCATAAAAACCCCGTCAGCTCCAGGTGATTGCGGAAGCCCAGATGGCCATGGGAAGGGTGGGGCAACGATATTTTCAGGCGGTCGACTAGAGAAATTTATTGAAGGGGACTTGTAATCCGCATGATGTTTCCCCGTGCATGTTCATTGATCTAGGTTTTATTTCTGTCGCAATGAAATGCCGGAAGGTCCCGAGAACTCACCAACGCATTTCCTTCCTCCAGAATTCACCTGCATCCCAGGCGGACATTCGCACCTATGACCACCTGGCGTGCCCGCCCGCGCCCCCCGGCCCGCGCCGGCCCCGCCCCCGCGGCCGCGCCCCGCGTCGCGGAGGTCCCTATGACCACCTGGCGAGTTCACACATCGGTGAGAGCATCCGCCATTTGAGATCGCACATTCGTCAATGTCTGAAAATCAAACATTTACTAACCCTCTTGTTGGTAAATCGCATGATTTAACTAATACTCACATTTTCAACGTGTATGATCTTCGAAGCTCTTTGCTACCGAGTCCCTGACATTCAGGGTTACGGGAGTATCCATGAAAAATTATCTTTTCGTGTCTTCGTCTACGCCAGCCCTGAAAGAAAGCGATTCTGTTCCTACTCAGCCACTGGATGCACCTCCCCGCGCACCTTGTTCGTTAGTGAATTATTTTAACCTGATCGTGGGTATTAAAAAGGCGTTTAAGTCTCTTGAATGAGGTCATATTAGAAATGCACGTTGCCAGAAAATCCGTGTCAGTCAAGATTCGTGTAAAGTGGCTCCCATATAAAAGCTTCGTGCGAAATAGTAAGACACAAACCTTTGCAGTGTTTTCCATTTTCCTCCAGCTCAAACCCTGACCAACATCTACAGTAGAACGTTCCGATCGTGTTCACACAGTCGTGATGGCAGCCACCGTTATCCGCTATACACTCATTGATATCTATAACCACGATGTAAAAGTAAGCAAATTTTGGAAAAAATATTCTAGGATTTTGAATTCTTCACTCCATAATCGACTCTCCTTTCTTATTGGAGTGACCATGATGAGGAAACGAGTGCGCTTGTCTAGAACTCTTACTATTACCTGCACGAATTCAATGGTGTAACCGCTTCAGAAGAAGCCACGAAGGCTGAGAGGGAAGAATTAGCCACTTTTATTAAGGAAAAGTCGCCACGTGGTGCCATGTTCCAGCCCCTGACGGATATTTACAGGTTTTTGAGCAGATCTGCTGTTACTATCCTTCTCGATCCAAGGAGGGCGACCCGAGACTTTCCGTTTTTTGAGTGTTCTGGAAACTTTAGGGTGAAAGCGCGAATGCTGAAGATAAAAACATACGTGAAAACAACATACCGTATTGGCATTTGGATCCAGTGAAACCAGGTGCGCATTCACAAATGTCTTCCGTTCCATTCCGGAAAGGAATACATGTACCACCATTGTGACACAGATCAGCCGTACAGTTCGCTGGAAAGACGCCACTTCTTGAATTTCATAATCACCTGAGAAGCGCACCAAAATCGCCCATGAAATAAAGGTAGATATGAAAGTGGGTTGCCAAACACTTCAAGAAGTCAAGAATCCACTGAAAAACTTTTCTCTAACGTTTAAACTTAGAAGCTTAACTATCAAATCTGTTATGTTCTCTATTTCGAGACATGCACCATTGCTACAGTTGCAGCACCTGCAATTGTCCGCATTATTTTGCAGCTCTAAAGTGGTAGACGGAGGTTCCGATCTCCAGAGAAATATCGCTCCACACCGTTTTAAAAATAGGCTGACACTGCAAAGTCTAGTTAAAAAAGCCAACTCAACAAATAACAGATGGAAAAGAACTGAAATACCACTCAATCGCCATTCTAGAGAGCGCTGTGGATTTCGATTGAAGGGTGAATCTATCATCACACCCCCGTTCACAGGGCCGTATGCTATCCTTCCCCGAAGCTAGGTGATCCAAAGTTTCCTTTAAATTTATTTGTTTTGAACGATATAGTTTCTTCATTTTCAGTGCATGTTTACTTTACCTACATACATACATTAAATGTAGGCCCTTTATCAGGGCAATCCCAGTTGGGAAGACAGAGAAAATTTAAAGGGATTTTCGTCCCCCAACCCCTTCGGGGAGGATAGCATACGGCCCCAGACTTACGGGAGCATGGTGCACAGGATCGAAGTTCAACCACTTCCAGAGAATTCGTGATATACGACTTTATGTGAATCGCTGGCGAAAGGGGTCTTCCATGATCGAGCTACATGTTTGGTAGCTTCCACAGTATTCAAGACTGAGAAAATCATGCTCGAGTTAAGCAAGTATGCTGGAGCTGCAAGCAGGGTGAATATCGGTCGAGGAAATCCTCGACAGGGGGGTCGTACCTGTTGGGCTGGTCCATGGGGGGTCGTACTCTTGGGGTCAGTAACAGAAGTGGTATCGGTGCAGATAGGTAAGGGTATAGCGCAGCAGAAAATGAAAACATCCGAAAAAAAACATGATATTAAATTTTCTTTGCAGGTTCAGTCGCTCCATTCCTCCACCTTCATGAGAAGGGCGTATTTGAAGGCAGTACAAAGAATGAAAGTGCATCCCCGCAAAGAAGACTGCCACATGTGCGCACGCGCTGCAAAGGCACCTCCTCCGCCTATCGCTCGCTCCTTCTCCCTTAATACCTCGCTGAGAATGACGCTGTTGTTAGGGACCCTGTCGGAAAAACGACAACCGTGAAGAAAAAGCGCTGGGCAAATGAAGTTGTTTTTTAGGTTACAGGAATAGCACAACACACTATGTCTACTACAATACAGTTTCGTTCGAAGGTCCCCATCATATAACACCTTTCAATCGATTCTGCAACTGTGAGTGGAGGAGGGATGCATGGCTTATACCAATACCAAATCGGATGATGACGATTGCTCCTATTCTTATTGTTTGCGTTCAAAGATATTGTTCTAGACACATTCCGAGTGTTGCCAACGAGTCACACTTGCAATGGTGAATGAGGGAGCGGATTTCCAGGTGGCCGGATCCGACCTCGATAGATCCTCGACGCAATTATCTCTTCAACCAAAAAGCTGTAGAAGAAAACTAAACAGACCATCAGGAAGCGCAAACCTTCCGCTTTCCAAAACTATCTTCCCTTTTTCAGGATCTTACAATATAAGAGATATATTGCTCTTGAAGTGGCAAAAACTCGCGTGAAAATTTCGGCCTCCTCGACATTTACTCGACGAAATTTGACAGACCCTATCTTTCTGCAAGGAAGGCTTCCAGAGCAATTTCGATGCTTGTTGGAAACGCGAAATCCAGCTCTATCTAACTCTACCTCAAGCTGCTTCAAAGGTTGTGAAATGGAGGAATGCAACCTTTTCATCGAGGGTGTAGATTCGGACGTTTTTTTTTGAAATTTCGGCAAATCTGACCCAGTGACAATCGCGCCGCAGCTGCCGTTGAATCGGCCTTTGATACACTCGGCTGTTTTGATATACTCAAGCAAGAATCAAGATTGAATCGCAACCCCGTGTCTTCAGGATTTCTGTGCGTTTCTGAACGAACCTCGCCTTGAGGTCACACAAAGTTAATGCCTCTTTCCTCGAGTCGATATTTCAGTATGTACACAAAAGTATGCAGCGATGGAAGACGTGCATAGATGACAAGATGAAGCGTCCTTAGCATTATTTTGCAGAATTTTTTTTGATTTGTTTGCAGGATTTATTTTAATTGAATTAATTTGCTCTGTTAGAGGGGGTCGTGCCAGGATCTCGATTTCGGGGGGGGGGGGTCGTACCTCTGCGACCACGTACTCGACACGATTTTCACCCTGCTACGATTACTTGCTTCATATTCTGAAATGAAGGTGAGGACAGTTGGAAAGGCTGCTCTGCAGAACCGTCTGTCAGCGACTATAAGCTGTCGAGGTACCATCAACCGGTACCCTATACAGGGGTGGCCAAAAAAAAGAGACACTTTGCCCATGGCGCACATCATCGAACTTTTCGTCGCACAGGGTGCCGATGTTAATGAAAGTTTTACGGCGTAATATTCCTTAGGTGTTCCCCCGTAAACAGAAGCAGGCCCTTCCTTCACTGCCCCACGTTCAGATATGACGTCATCTGAAGTCGCGCCGTCGAGCTCAACAAGGCTCACCTTAGTCGCTCCGGCCTGAAGCTGCAACATAATTTCTTCAATCGGTTAACTGGTGAATAGCTTCCCAGAGACACTAGCTGTGACTGTGCAAGACCGCTTTTGACCAGCGTTTCAGGGACGTCGTAATGGTCTATGGTACCTCGACGACCTCGTTGAGCTCGTACCGTGAACCATGTTTCCGTGGGAAAATCTTCTGATGTCGTCGGTGTAGAAGGCTGTCATGTAACTTTTAGATAGATTAGAATGTGCTCTTTAATACTGAATTGGGGGCAGTCGATTTGATTTTAGCAAAGTGTGATTAATGCTGTCTGAAATGTGGAGTGAAGTGTCTCTTTTTTTGGCCACCCCTGTATACATGAATAGTCCCTATAATGCGTCATGGAGCAAAATACTTTTTTAATCACCGTGGATAAAAACACATACGTTGTGTAGACTACAGAAACTCTGCTCAGAAGACTTAGAACAAAGTTTCTCGGTCCCTAACTCGGCTGACTAGCTCCGTTCGTAAGCGCAAGCCGTAACAGCAACGCGATTACGCGCAACTCGTGTGTCAATTGCCGGAGCAAACGACCACTCACGGTCTACATTTCAGCATATATGGCGCGGTCCAATGACAAAGGACACCCTCCAATTTCCGCGTGCAAGGGCGGGCAACCAAAGGCAAAAGAGTTCCAGAAAGCGGTGACAACCGATCTGTGCCATCCTAATTTTTTTGAAGCAGTTCGTCAGCGGAATGCTTCACCAGCGCATGCAAGAACTCTAGAACTGGCGAACTTTCCCTGTCCACTCCGTCTTTCGACACAACTCAAGGCATATAAAGGATAAAAGGATAAAGCATTTGCCGTTGATCAATCCCTTTTTGGGATGCGGCACGCATTCTACTTCCATTTGTACATTCGTAGTGGCGTTTGAATGCGATGTGGCCTATACAATGACTTGCGGGGGCCAGCCGATGTACAAGTCAGTGTTTTTATCCTCCCAGACAAGTCTGGTACCAATTAACCGACCCCGGAGGGATTGGTTGGCCCGGGCGACTCACGACCCAGGATTTGATCCCCGGACCGCTCGCGTGGTAAGCGTGCCACTTGTCACTACACCACTTCCGCCCCTAACTGAAGCACCATAAGAAGAGAATTATCACAAGTATTTGCAGCTCATGAATTTTAGGGGTCAAAAAGCGTTCCACCGTCAACGCTCATATATGGACAAGATATCTGACGGGTCCTAGCATATTCTCGCGTCAACTGACCACTCCGACCTCATCACGCGTTTTTCCATGCAACGTTATGAGTGCGCCAGATCATAACGGGCGCCGCTCGCCAAGAGACTTCGCAAAGACACCGCGTCAGCATTTACGACGTGCATGCATGACATATGCGTTTGAGAGTAGGACATGCGCAGCCATAGATCATACTCAACGGCGTCGGACCGGTTTTCAGAAAATTGTGTTCTTTGAGAAAAATCCAGTCAAAAGGGATAGTTGTTGCGCACGGCGGACTTATGGGGAAGGGTTGAGAGAAACCCCAGGACGCTTATAGAGGCCGACACAGTTATAAAAAAGTGATGCAGAGACCGGTTCTCCTTGGACGACAGGAAGATTAGCGGTTGGTGAACAAGGTTGAGAAAAACTTCCAAGACGGCGCGGTACTAAAGTCCGTTGGAGTAATGGAGAGCAACCAAAAACTCGATTCAAGAAAGCAGAGATCTAAATAGGGCATTTCGCGTTCAAGAGGGATGACGGAGCATCTACGCCGCACTCCATCTCTATTAACACTTGGAGCCCACGCAGCCCATATGTGGGCTGCAGACTGTCGACAGCCGTAGGGACTTTCAGCCCACATACTTCGGGAACAAATGTCAAATTTTTCTTTTGCTTTCTTTTTCGTTGCACTAAGGTTTCCTCTGCATCATACAGTAGGATTTTCTTCAAAAATTTGCTCGATAACGTTCTTAAAGTTTCTAGGAACTCCCACGCGGCCGAAAAATGTGAAACATGCGCGGTCTCCAAAGTGTTAATTGGTCCAACCTTTTTCTAGTTTGTATGTCTCGATAATATAAGGGGATGCAACTCTTCGTGCATCCGTGCCATATTCGCTTTGAACCGATGTGAACTGAAGGAAAGACCTACTTCAAGTTGCGCTCTTTCAGGTAGAATAGGTAGTCTTGACACAACTACTGGATTTGCGAACACGATGATGCCGTTTGGCTGCCATTCTTAGAGAGGCAGAAAAGCCCTTCCTCCAACAATCAAGTATTCCCTGCTTTAGCAGACTCCTCAACCGGAGCCAATACCAGACGAGCGTTGGGATGCAAGGCTCGAAGATCGTCATGCAAAATCGTCATCTGCGTATGGAGCCCCTTTATCCATTGAATTGCGAACTACTGTTCTAGGTAAAGGATTGGAAAGAAAGGAATCAATGAAGATTGGACAGCCTGTCTTCAGGTGGTAACAGCTGGAGCGCTTATGTTTTTTTCCTTGGGCGGAAGTGGTGTAGTGGCAAGTGGCACGCTTACCACGCGAGCGGTCCGGGGATCAAATCCTGGGTCGTGAGTCGCCCGGGCCAACCAAGCCTTCCATCCCTCCGGGGTCGGTTAATTGGTACCAGACTTGTCTGACTTGTACATCGGCTGGCCCCCGCAAGTCATTGTATAGGCCACATCGCATTCAAACGCCACTACGAATGTACAAATGGAAGTAGAATGCGTGCCGCATCCCAAAAAGGGATTGATCAACGGCAAATGCTTTATCCTTTATCCTTTAATAAGGAGCAAGGGAAACTGTTCATTGGTTTGCATTCTTAACATCTTATTTATTGGGAAGAGCGCCACCAATCTGTGGATCGAACCCCAATTCCGAGAATATCTATGCCTAACCTGCAAGCAGGAGTAAACAAGGGCCTTCACATATGCAGCGATAATTGTCTATCCATTGACGGTCAGCGAGACGTCGTGCTTATGAATGATAGATGATCACCTACAAAGTACCCCAACACCCATTGTTACCGTAATCCCTAGGGCGCGAGTAATGCGTCAACAAACATCGTTAACAGGTGTCCAGGTGTGCTTATATGGATGCATGTGTGTAGATGGTGATTTACGAGGGAATGCTGGATAACCCAGATTGCACTTGTGAGGATGCTTTATAGCAATGTGGGACAGATGGGTAACAAAATCGTAGCGTGATTTCTTATGAGTCTGAAAAGCTCCTCACTTTCAGAACAGCGTTTAAAGGTTGAATGCTAAAGCCCTTGAATAGTTCGTTTTGCGCCTACTGTCTAATTTTATCCGGCAAATGCGGCCGTAGAGCCTGAATAACACCTGAGGTGACTGCTCTAATTTTAGCCGGCGAATGTGGCCGTAGATGATTTGGATACACACCTTCTTACATATACGACTGGCCCTGTGGGCGTGCAGTAGCCGATGATAACGATTTGCGCGAAGCTTGCCTCCAGCAAGCCTACTTCTTTCTACTGAGCCCATTTTCGTACACGTATACTCGGAAATTTTCCAAATTTGGAAAGCAATATGGCAAGGCGTTTTCGAAGTAGATCAACATTTCACTTTCTTTAGAATATTTTCCAAAAAATATTGAGACTTTCCATGAATGTTCTAAGTGAAATATATGTAACTCCCAGAAAAAGTCTCGGCATCTGAGTTTGAAGAGTTTTTCGAACACTGTGCTTTATGCCAGCGCGAATTGTACACCTTTGCCCTCACCTCGTTGACATCCATCCATTCCCGGCACATGCACCCATCCAGCACAGCATTCGGCTACCGTATGCCGTCGCGTTCGATTCACTTTTTTGTACGTGTGGAAGTAGACCGTTCTAAAAAATGACATGATTTGAAGTTGAATTTTCAAGTCATGGGTGTTGCTCAAAATCGAGTGGAACTGGACTCGACTACTGTGCATTGAAACCTATGGTTCCTCTCATACAGACACCGATACAACATATTTTCTATTATATTATTTCTATTTCATTATCCTTTTAGGCTCCGAAGGGAACTCGCCGAAACGTCAGGCAATTAACTGTCAGCATCAACCCCTTGTGGGGTCAAAGTATACCATTTAACCACTAATATGCCGCAGTTCATCGAGAGTCGAACAAGGCGACAACATATTTTCTTCGATTAACTGCGCCAGTTTGCATCGCAAAATCTTCCTTCATTTATCACTCCATGGTTTCTTATACTGTGAAGGAGATGACAGATTCCTGATACAATTTTTTGAACAGCTACTCTTTACTGGGTGTCGGTAAGTGTGAGACTAGAGTTAGCGCAAATGGGTCAATATGTATCTTTTACAAAAGGTATTAATCGAAAGCTCTAGAGCATAAAAAACATAAAAGAAAAGAAAAAAGAGAACGCAGTTGCGCCGAAAAAAGGATCCGAGGGACGGTGTCACGTTTCAGCTGCCCTCCCTGGAAAAGCAAGCATTCCCTATGCTTTTCAAGAACTGCTCACTTTCAGTATAAATGGGCTTCTCCTATAAATGCTCACAAAATACTGCACCATGAAATTCTGATGGTTTCAAGGAAAAATTCTGTACATTTCAAAAATGGGTTGACCAAAATGGATGGGTTCGAACGTCTTCATTTGTTTGAAAGGGGATTGAATTCAGTTCAATTGGCTATGGTGTGACTCCAAATGGATGGCATTCTCAGAGATGTCGCGTTTGCCATAAATATCCGTCACAGGCCGATCACATACAGTC